TGAGTATGTTCCTGAATCATCCAGCTCACAAAGCCTTGTCATTACATCTACTAGAAAGGTACTTAGTCAGCTCTTTTCCCACTGGCAATATGAGAGTGAAAAAGCAGCTCTGTCACAGATTACAAATCCAAATGAGCACAAATTCATGGTGCTCACCATATCAAAGCAGCCAGTGAATTTTTCACTGCTTTGGCATTGGCACAATTTCTAACCACTGATTAAGGGTAAGTTTATAGAAAAGTAGCAACTAAGTAGTTTATAGTATAGATGCAGACATGACCTTATCAAGGATATAAGAGGGTTATAGTCCTCAATTCACGCTACTTCACACAGTGTACAACCATGTCTGGTTGCACGACATACAAACGCCTATGCAAATAAACACCACAAACATTCAGGCAGAAGGCATCTCTGCCATTGTGAATGTAGGGATTAAGTCATGCCTAGCAAGTCTAGCTAAGACAGACACCACAGTGGCACTGATGGGCTCTGCCTTTAGGCTGAGTCAGAATCTGCCCTAAACTGTAGTAGTCATGTACAGCCTGTTGGAATTAGACATGCACTAAAGCAGAACCTTTGCATACATTTTAAGTACTTAAGTATTATTCATCTTATTTACCTTTGGACATCTTTTATTCAGGTGTTGATTTTAAGTCAGGAGCTAGGCTCCCTGAAGAATCAGTCAGAGACATACACCTCCAAAGTCCAATTCACCCCATCCAAAGATGGGTATCAAGGACTGATGGAATTACTTGTTCTGCATAATTGTTCCTCTCTTTCCCTTGACTATAGATGGAGCTGTCTACCTTTTGATACACTGTCAAGCCTCTAGCAAGTGTCCTTAAAGAAGAGGTACACATTTGTCAATGGTCTGTTTTCTTAGTTGGCTCTTTGCATTTTCAAGAGTATCAGAGATATTTTACACGAAAATACAATTAACTTTTCAGAAAAGAGAGTAGGTCACTTAAACTTGATAGCAAACTATTATCAAGTGTCCTCAGATCCAGAACCATGTCCAGAGGGCACAACATAGCTGCAGGTGTCCCAGTATTCTGTGGAGGTCACCAGAGGAGCAGCAATGGTGAATTTTGAATAGGTAGTCCCCTTTGGTCTGCTTGCTTTGCCCACAAGACTGCAATGCCTGGGGTAGACTCTGATCTTTGGATTTGTGATGTAAATCCAGACTTTGCAGGATGACAAGGAAAGGAGGTCTAGGATAGGGGCAAGGGATAGATGGAAGTTCAGAGGTGGCAGACTCAGCAACTCAGTGGTTTGAGCACCCACAAACGTGTACATGAAGAGGCAGTTACAATAAGAGCCAATGTTTGTCATATAGTCAGTGGACTTCTCCACAACCTATGATTGTGAAAAGATCATGGAAAAAAACCTAAGATTGTGGAGAAAATCTAAGATTGTGGAAAAGAGAGAATAAATAACAAAACCCTTGATGAAAAAAATGCATCAGAATTAGATGCCAATATGTCTTTTACTTTTCCTAATGTGAGAAAAACACCTATGAAACATGAAACTACTGAAATTTAGTTCATAAAAATCTGAAAACAAGTCTGCTAATTTGATTAAAAAACAATGTCAGAAGCACCCAGCAGCCACCAGGAGATAATATTTTTTTTGTCAATTTTGTGGGTCCGCTCTGAAGATGGCTCGGCCTCTTTGTGTTTTGCTTTTGACCATCCCACGTTCTCTTTTCTCATTGTCAGAAGTCAGAGCTGAGCTGACTTCACATGCACAGTCTTACTGCTCCTCACTCCTAGTGGCTCTCCTCCCTCCTGAAAAATACCAGGGTAGAGAAGCCTTGTACCATCTCAGGAAGGTCTACAGCTCCTGCAAAAGGAAACTGCAGTGAGATTGTGCTAATATAAAGGGATAATCTAAGCAGGAAAACAAGAGAAAGGAGTTCTGGGATAGTAGGGAAGAAGGGGTTGTGCTGTAGAAGGAGATCTGTGTCCAGGAAAAGAACAGGGTGGTTCTGCTCACTCAGCACCACATTGTGCTGTGGTCTCCACCATGGACTGAAACCACCCTGGGTTAAATTTTGGCCTTTTGTGAAAAGAGGGAGAGGAAGTGAGAAGAGGAAACAGAGAGGAGGAGAAGGAAGAATTTTACCTATGACCCACAAAACTTGTTGAAGCCCACATCCAAAACATTTCACAGTAATACGTGGTACAACTTTTTTGCCATACAGTGAAACACTGAAATTAATTCACCTATTGCTTGTATATTTCTGCAATGCCATTCCACTTATCCCTTCCTTGTCATTCTTTTACTGCAGCTTACATATGCAGTGATTGGATACTTGTTTAAATGTAAGGAAACAATATTTCAAAGTAACTTAATGAGAAAGTGCAACCTACTATTTGCGTACAATAATAGTTTACTTTTTGCTTGATCCAGAGAGACTGCAATTTTGCAATAGTCTTTGGCTTGAATGTCAGAAAATTTAGTTCTATATGTAAACCAAAATTATTTTAAAAAAAAATTGTATTTTTTTATTTTAGTTGCTCTTCATTTATTTTCTTTCTTTTTTTTTTTTTTTTTTTTAAATTTTTATTTTAGCTGAAGACAATAGGATTCATGAGCTGAATAGAGAGGGACAAATCTGTTACCAGATTTTACACAAATGGTAAGACTTTATTTGCTGGCAAAAGGATGGCAAAACAAAAAGACTGGGAAACAGGAGTCAGAATTTAAGCTGCTAGGTTTTCCGATTATTTCCAAATCAATAATATCTTGAAGTAATTTTGATCTTAGAAAGTCCTCAGATTTATTATATGAACTAAAAAGAGTTGCAAAGGATGTGTTTACATTACTGGACAATAGCGTTTACCTAGATTATGTCTTAATGTTTCCAATCTTAATTACTATTTTATCTGTGAAATACAGGGTCAGTGCAAGTATCTTTGAGCAGAGAAGTGTATTAGATTGGTGTTGTGGGTTAATTCCAGACAGCAGCCAAAACCCACACAGCCACTTGCTCGCACTCTTGGTGGTATCGAGGAGAGAATCAGAAGGATAAAAGCTTCAAAATTTGTGGGTTGAGAAAATAATAGGGATAGCAAAAGCTGTGTTGAAAAGCAAAGCAAATCAAGGAATTAAGTCACTTCTTCCCGTGGGCAGACAGGTGTTCAGTCCTGCCAGGAGAGCAGGGTCCCATCATATGTAATGGTTACTTGGGAAGACAAATATCACCACTCCAAACGTCCCCCACTTTCCTTCTTCTACTCCCCACTTTATATACTGAGCATGATGTATAGAATATCTCTTTGCTCATTTTGGATTACCTGTCCTGGCTGTGTCTCCTCTCAGCCTCCCATGGAACTCCAACTTCCTTGCCAGTGTGGCTGTATGTAAAGCAGAAAAGGCCTTGACCCTGTGTAAGCACTGTGCAGCAAAAATATCTCTGTATTACCAACACTGTGTTCAGCACGAATCCAAAACACAGCTCCATACTAGCCCCTGTGAAGGAAATTACCTCTACCCCAGCCAAAACCAGCACAATTGGCTATTACAAGCATGTTTTCAGACCTTGCCTCCCACAAGCTTGAATCATTACAGCTGCTATTTTAAAAGATTAACTCTGCTGTCGGGGACCTTAAGAAGATTTGGGTTTGCATTCAAATCAAAGAAACAGCAGAAGTCAGTAGATTCCTGGAGACAGAACCTTTTCTAAACTAGTCAAGAACATAAGATTTACAGCACATAAGCTCCTGCACCCACAGTATGCACTATACTATGTCATATGATGTGTCATGTACACTGCACAGATATACCACTTCTATTTCAGTAACATCCTTCTAATAACAGGTGGAACAATTTCTTCTTTGGCAATATTTCTGGCTGCACCACCCACTGTATGATTCTGATAAAATACTTGGGATGGATTTCCGAAAGACAAGCTCCTAAAATTACCCCAGGAACCTTGTGGGAGTATTGCTCATAATTTGATTTGATTTTAAGATTTTTACTCTTCTGGTTTTAGTTAAGCTTAGCTAGCTGTAAAAGAAAGAGTGATTCCAAAAACAAGCATTTTTATCTTAATCACAAAAATAAAAATTCATTCCAGAAAGGGCATTTACCCCAAACTGCCATGCACATGCCTTTTCAGCACAGCTGATCTAAGCTCTATAAGTGGTTTTGATCCTTGAAAGTTCAAACTCTTTCAATGTTTCCTCCATAAAGTTAACTCTCAATATTTCCCAAAAAAAAAAGGGGAATGAATAAAAGAACGATCCTGTTGTAGTATATTTATCTAGTTATTTATCACAGAATAAAATCTTAGTAACAACAACTGAAAGCATACTAAAGGTATGCCTAGCAACAGTGTCAGGGACAAAGACCAGAAGTAACAGACCTTTGTTTAAAATACACCACAGGAATATATTGAGCAGCTGGAATTTATAACCACTGGGTGTTTATTAAAACGTTAACCTGTCTAAAGCTACTGTAAAAAGTGGCCAATAGCATATATAGCTGCATTTGCAGAAAGACTGCAGGAGAAAGGAATAAAATTAATTACCTAGTTTTTCCCAAAATGTTATGTTTAACATATTTCAAAAATCTCAATTGATAAAACAATTTTGACTTGTCAGTACTTTGATTTTATATTCCTTATCTAAAGTGCATTGGACATATGCACTGAGTACAATATTTTCTAAAAGCACATGCTTTACAGTGGGAAGGAAAATGTAAAATACCCAGATCTACACATGAATGCTAAGAAGATAGCAATATTTACAAAACTTTTACTACTGATAGATGCTTGTGTTTTCTTATGGTCCTGGAAATACTTCCAAACCATCAGTGCAGAAAGCCCAAGAACAGCACACTATATGCAAGTCTAACACCTTGTCTGGTAAGACAGATGGATTTTTTTACTTTCCACCATGATCTAAGAAAAGGAAAAATGCTGTTCTTAGGATAAACACCGACCATCATTGATGATCATGAGGTATCCCAGTTTAAAGCCACATGGACCCGCTGACCTCAGCACTATGAAAATATGTAAGGCTTTGTCTTGAGAATCTACCACAAGAGGTGAAAGGAACTCTAGTGCAGTGACTGTGTACTTCATAGATTCATGCAAAAGGCCTTGATCCTTGGATGGCACAGTGAAGATTTGAACAGAGGAATATGGAGGGAGATTCTTCTTTTGACACTTGTCAAGAAATGAAGAGGATATGAAATGGTGTGAAGAACAGGACTGTACTGCTGGAAGGGAGTAGAGGTGATGCTGAAACAAACAAAAAATATAGTCAGTGTCTGCAATCACCAGGCCAGGTTCAGCACCCCAAGGGGCAATAGTATCTTTTGAAAAAGTAAAACTGATTCAGATTTCTTTTCCCTACAGTTCAACTAAAATGATGTAAGGGTCAAGTGCATGCAAGTGCCCCCAAAATACCAAGGAGTGAAAAGATTTTGGAGAATTTATATTTGAAAGTCGAGAACACTTAACGTACTGGCACAAACTGCATTGGGCCTAGGAAAAGACACATCTCCTGTTCTTCTCAGGGCTTTTATCATCCCTGGCCATCACAGCCTTCAGACATGTCCATAAAAACTTATCTTTTCTCACACCAGGGAGAGTTCCTCTGGAATGCAGGAGCAGAAAACATCTAAAATTGTCTCCTAGAAAGATTCCTCTTTCCAGGCAGGAAAGCTTTCTTAAGCAAAAACCCCTGATCTCCTCATAGAAGATCTACAGTCTTCTGGAATATCTACACTTACAATGAGATCCAGCCAAAAGAACTTATTTTAGAATACTAGTTTGGAATTACACTCTTGAAGGCAACAATTGAAGTGTCAGCTCAATTTCTGGCACGTGGACATATTATACACGACACACGAAGTGGAGGTGCAGGAATACATCATGGAAAGTGCTAAAAATTAAAAATATTCTGTATCTGCATTGGCAGCACAGATGTAAATATGGCAATCATTTCAAGAACAGATCCATTTGACAAATATTTTTTATTTTTTTATTCCTGTGAGTAGCAAAAATGTGCTTCCATCTCATTATTTGGATAAGGGGAGTTGTTGTAGCTGTTGGAGAAATGAGAGGCAGAGTATTAGTGGCTACAGTACTCTCAATAGGATCTGTCAGAGACACATTCAGTTCTTGCTTTTTTACAATGCAGACCTTAGTTGAACCGTGCACACAAGCGAACATGCTGGAGGAATGTCTCATTCGGATCTCATATTTTTGGTTTTGCTTAGAGCAGTTTCTGAGCTTTGAATATAGATCATGCCATGGAGACTCAGAGGTCAAGGCACCGGTGTAAGTTTTGAAAAGGTCATGACTTCCGATTCAGGAAGGAGGAATTTGAACTGATTCTCTCACTTCTTAGTTATGTGCTATGATGATGAGGTTATTGTCTATTCCAGATCACAGCTCCCTCTGTCAATCTTATCTTGAAATTAAGAATTTATTACATGGTTTCTTCTCAGATATTTAAATATATAAATATTGCACATATTAATTTATGTGAATTTCAGATAAATATTTCCCCAATGGCTTTGAAGTTTTTAATTGAGTCTCTGGATTAGCACCTGAATACTCAAGGAGCATGTGACTGCTGCTGAGTCCATCACACTTTACTTCAGTGACCATGAAAATGAGGACAAATAGATCAAACTATGGTGAGCTTCTGTTTAACTACATGACGGAAACCAGCACAGCTGGAGGCAATTCTTAGCAAATTGATCAGAATTCCTTTACTTTAACTACAGCTTAACTAATAAATAGACTTCTATAATCTTCTGCAATTAATATAAATTTATCTGCAATATAAGTGAAACATTTGATCTTGAAATATTCACTAAATCATATGTATATAACTTTAAGGAACTTATGTAGCTTATCTTTCTGCCAAATTGGAAAAGAATATATGTTTACAATAAAAACTTGTTAACTAGGAGCTCTATAGAAGATGCATGTTCATAATTAATTTCCTATGCAACAAAAGCACTGTTTTTTTTTTTTCTTTTTTTTTTCCAAAATTCAGTATTAACTTCTGGTATCTTTTTTTTTTGCTAGTTTTGTTTCTTTATTTGTCTGTTTAAAGACATTTTTGTATCAACTTCTGGAACTGGTAGTAATCTCTGAAAATTTGAAAAGACTGTACACGTTGCAGCTCTTCTTTTGCCATTTTTTAAAGTAAGGACATTTCATCCAAAAATACAGACATTTTCCTGGATGGATCTGTTTCTTTTAAGGGGTTTTTCAAATATTCTGTGAACAAGACAGGTCTTGAACTCCCTTTGAACATAACAGGCACTTGGAAAATCTAATAAAAATACACTTTTTAAAAATGTAATTGATCTGGCTTTTACACTTTTTCACAATTAATTCTGCAGTTACAGGCCGGCAAAATCTGAAAGCAATAGAAATGTCTTATTTGCTAAAATAAACGAATACACTGAACTCTTTTTTTTTTCTCTTTTCCTAAAAGCCCATGTTGCAATCCCTCCTAAGGGACTAAAAAAAAAAAAATAACAAGAAAAAGATGGAGTTTGAACTCAAAGCAAACATAAAAGCTTTACTTACAAAAAGAAAAAAAAAATCAATTACACACTCCAATTTGTTTTCCAACCAGCCAAAGGAAAGCCTGGTTAGCATGTTGCAGGATCCAAACACCTTGGATCTACATATTTCACCAAAGTTTACATTATGCCTATTTCTAAGAAACAAAATAACAATTAGAGACACCTGTTAAAAGTGCCTGCGCTCTGTTCACACTTCATGTAGTATCTTAAAGTGACAGCATATTAAAATGTCAATGAAATCCTTTTCCATTACAGAAGTATTTATAACAACAGAAAGTGCAATTAAATTGTCTGCTCCTAAGCACTTGTACTTAACTGTTTAGCATACAAGAAAGGTACTAAAATATACTGATGTAGTAGGGGAAACTACTGAAAATTAAATACTCCAAAAGACAAAATCATAAAAGATATGGACAGAAAAAATTAGTAGTTAGATTACCCTCCCCCCACAATTTTATCTAGTTAATAAGCCCATAATATATTTCTTCTACAGATAGTCTGGCAATTTTAGATGTATAGGCCTATACTGTAAAAGGAATATTGCAGATAAAAGAAATACAACCATGCTGAAATTACTTATTCAAAACTTCCCCTTTGATTATGTTCCCACTATACAATTTGCAATGACACAATCTTTGATTTTGACCCCTCCAGCATAGGAATATGTGCCTCACTCAGAAATTTCTGAGTGTGAACTAAGCCACATTAGGGACCATACTTGAAAAACAGAGCAAGATAATATACCTTCAAACGATTTATACAGGCCATTTTTATAGGTATCATTCATACTGTGAAGGTGCATCTACAGCACCTTCACTGTTAAAAAAAGTTAAATGAAACTTCCTACTTGATAAAGTGGATTGCTGTGGGAAAAATTAATTTAAAAAAAACATTGTTTAATTCAGAAGAAAATTCCAACAAATAGCAAAGTGTAAATTTATCAAAACTGAACTCCCAACAAAATCTGGCTTAAATATTCCATGTCATGAACTCAAGCCCATGTAGATGGTCAGAGCAGAGCCTCTAAAATACTCCAGCCCCATTTTAATGTTCAGTGGAGTATGAAGGGTGCTGCACAGTCTTGTGGTGGTGGATCACGGAAAGGTAAATTTGACTATCCCTTAAAAATGTTTCAAATCCATCTTAAGTCACAGAGATATGAACTGAACTTCCAAAAAATCTCATATTGTCATGTCAAATTATCCACCAATATTGTGTGTATTTAACTGATTATTCTGAGCTACAGGACTTTGTATAATTAATAAACAAAACTGTAATCAAGGGCATACTACTTTCTACCCACCTGTCCTGACATATTGCCCCAGGCTACCACTTCGTAGTAGAAAGAACAAAATTAACTGTCCCTCAAATATTTTTGCTCACAGCTTTAGCTTTAATGGAAATAATGCCAAATACAAGTCTGTAAGCTGTAGTACATAAAAACCCAAGACATTTTCATCTGTATCCCTTCTGCAGTTTCACACTAGCTTCCAAAGCAGTAGCTTCATCATTTTGAAATCTGAAAAGTTTACTGAAAATTCTGATTGATGTATCTTCAGAAGACATTTTGTACTAACATATTTATCTTTGCTTTCTGAAATATGACTAATCAAAACTTTACCTGACCAAATTTCTGTTTATTCTGAGTTTTATTATGCTCTGGATAAAAATTCTGGTTTATTTTTCAAACATGGAAGCATTCACATACCAGGATTTCAAGAAAGCTGTCTGTTTAGAAGTTAACTTGTCTACAGATAGTAAAATAGCCTTTTTCCAAAGGCTTCTGGATATTTGTTCACATCAGTTGAAATTGGTGCAACTGCATAAATTATGTCTTCCAAGAGCACCTGTGAACTGGCCTTGTGCTGTACCAGTTTTATGCTTTGTTACCCAAGACTGAAGTTTACATTAAGCAATGTGATTAAATGGGGGGAAGGACTGTGGGCCAAGCATTTCAAAGCTGCTACGTGTAGTTCCACTGCACTCAGGCTAGCCAAGAATAGTGGAACTGTTGTAGCCCCAGCACTCATAACACAACTCTCTTCTAATTGGCTCAGAATTCCTATTAGCCACAAGGGTCTGTACTGGCAGCCACAAAAAGCTGGAATGTAAGAGGCATTCTGACCATTAACTTCTTTCCAGAATTATCTATTCCCGTATAAGAGTTTGTGAGAACAGGTGAACCAGAGTCATTAATTCACCTCTACACCACACACCACCTAAGGACTTCTGATCCCTTAAGAAAATTTTCCAGGGCCAAAACCTCCTTCCATGTCCCCTGAGCTGTCAGAATAGCACAAAAAGACAAGAATAAGACCTTGTCCTTCCTATTCAACTGCTCTAAATGCTTCTGCTGTATACATTTCTACAAAGGCTACAAAGTAAATTGAAATGGCATCATCAGTGCATCTAACTGATCTCAAAATTTGGTGTGGCAAATGAAGAAATGGTTTCATGTATAGTAGCTTCTGTAGCATAGCCAGCTGAAGCTGTGTGCTACCTTGTTCCACAGATGTGATGTTCTCTGGGATATCATGTTTTTTCTAATGGATGACATGCTTTTCATGTTACTCATAATGCATGATACACTCATCATTATTCTTCTATTAATTTTCTGATGATTCAT